TGGGGCCCAAACCTTCGAAATTTATCAAAAAGCCTTCAATTTTTGATTTTTTTTTTACTTTTTTTCATCCGGAAATAAAAATTTCCGAAATGTTTACCATGGTTCTAATATTCTCAGGAGTCCAATTGGGTGGGTGGAACCATCCAATTCGTCTTTAAACGGCCAATTTACCGATTTACAACTTGCACCAATTTCATTAACTCAAGCCTACCATGAACACTTAAGACAACATATAATGATGATATATGGTTCCAAACGACTTTTTATGACCCTGAGATGTATCTCCCAAAATCTCACGGCCTTTTGACACCGTGCCCTGAAACCTCCAAAATTTCTCAAAAGCGTGGATATTAGCCTTCAATTTTGGAATTTTTAGACTTATTTTGCACGGAAATAAAAGTTGCCGAAATGTTTATCATAGTCCATATATAATACCCTCCGAGAGTCCAATTGGGTGGGTTGAACTATCCAATTTGCCTTTAAACGATCAATTTACTGCCTTACGACTTGCACCGATTTCATTAACTTAAGCCTATCATGAACATTTATGACAACAAATAATGATCATATATGGTTCCAAATGACTTATATGACCCCGACATGTATTCCCTAAAATTTAAAGACATTTCAACACCGGACTCCGAAACCTCCAAATTACTAAAAAAAGCGTTGATACTAGACTTCAATTTTGGAATTTTTTGACTTTTTTCCCTCGAAAATAAAAATTGCCGAAATGTTTACCATGGTCCCTAATATCCTCTGTGAGTCCAAATTGGTGGGTTAAACCATCCAATTTGCCTTTAAACAACCAATTTACTGATTTACAACTTGCACTGTTTTCATTAACACAAGCCTACCACGAACATTTTGGACAACGTATAATGATCATATATGGTTCCAAACGGCTTTATATGACCCCGAGATATTTCCCCTAAAATCTCAATGCTTTTCGACACCGGGCCCCGAAACAATCGAAATTTTTGAAAAAGCGTATATATTAGCCTTTAATTTTGGAATTTTTAGACTTATTTTCGCACGGAAATAAAAATTGCCTAAATGTTTACCATAGTCCCTAATACCCTCCGAGAGTTAAATTGGGTGGGTTGAACTATCCAATTTGCCTTTAAACGACTAATTAATCGGTTTACAACTTGCACCGATTTCATTAACTCAAGCCTATATACCACGAACACTTATGACAACAAATAATGATCATATATGGTTCCAAATAAAATTATAAGACCCCGAGATGTATTCCCTAAAATTTAAAGACTTTTTAACACTGGGCTCCGAAATCTCCAAAATTACTCAAAAAGCGTGGATATTAGACTTCAATTTTGGAAATTTTTGACTTTTTTCGCTCGAAAATAAAAATTGTCGAAATGTTTACCATGGTCCCTAATATCCTCTGTGAGTCCAAATAGGTGGGTTGAACAATCCAATTTACCGATTTACAACTTGCACTGATTTCATTAACTCAAGCCTACCACGAACATTTATGCATGACAACATATAATGATCATATATGGTTCCAAACGGCTTTATATGACCCCGAGATGTTTCCCCTAAAATCTCAATGCTTTTCGACACCGGGCCCCAAAACAATCGAAATTTCTGAAAAAGCGTAGATATTAGCCTTCAATTTTGGAATTTTTTTTAACCTTTTTTAACCTGAAAATAAAAATTGCTGAAATGTTTATCATGTCCCTAATACCCTCTGGGAGTCCAATTGGGTGGGTGGAACCATCCAAAATTCCTTTAAACGGCCAATTTACTAATTTACAACTTGCACCGATTTCATTAACTCAATCCTAACACGAATATTTATGACAACATATAATGATCATTTATGGTTCCAAATGAAATTATATGACACAGAGATGTATCTCCAAAATCTCAAGCCTTTTCGACACCGGGTCTTGAAAACCTCCATAATTTCTCAAAAAGCATGGATATTATCCTTTCAATTTTGGAATTTTTTGACTTTTTTCATCCGGAAATAAAAATTGCCGAAATGTTTACCATGGTTCCTAATATCCTCTATGAATCCAAATAGGTGGGTTGAACCATCCAATTTGCCTTTAAACAACCAATTTACCGATTTACAACTTGCAATAATTTCATTAACTCAAGCCTACCACGAACATTTATGACAACATATAATGATAATATATGGTTCCAAACGGCTTTATATGACCCCGAGATGTTTCCCCTTAAATCTTATTGCTTTTCCACACCGGGCCCCGAAACAATTGAAATTTCTCAAAAAGCGTGGATATTAGTCTTCAATTTTGGAATTTTTGCCTTTTTCGCCCAAAAATAAAATTTGATGTGATGTTTACAATGGTCCCTATACCCTCCGGGAGTCCACCTGGCTAGGTGCAACCATCCTATTTGTCTTTAAACAGCCGAGTTACCGGTTACAATTTGCACCCGTACCGATTTCATTAACTCAAGCCTACAATGAACATTTATGACAACAAATAAAGATCATATATGGTTCCAAACAACAATATATGACCCCGAAATGTATTCTCTAAAATTTCAAAACTTTTCAAAACCGGGCCCCGAAACCTCCAAAATTTCTCAAAAAGCGCGGATATTAGACTTTAATTTTGAAACTTTTTTACTTCTTTTGGCCCGGAAATAAAAATTGCTGAAATTTTTACCATGGTCCCTAATATCCTCTGGGAGTCCAATTGGGTGGGTGGAACCATCCAATTTGCCTTTAAACGGCCAATTTATCGATTTACAACTTGCACCGATTTCATCGATTCAAGCCTACCACGAACATTTATGACAACATTTAGTGACCATATATGGTTCCAAACGACATGATATGACCTTGAGATTTATCCCCTAAAATATCAAGCCTTTTCGACATCGGGCCCTGAAACCTCCAAAATTTCTCAAAAAGCGAAGATATTAGCTTTTAATTTTGGAATTTTTTTTTTACTTTTTTTCACCTGGAAATAAAAAGGAAAATTTTTAATTATTAATCCCAACTATTGATTATTATCCCCTAAAATCTCAAGTCTTTTCGACACCGAGCCCCGAAACCTATAAAATTTCTCAAAAAGCGTGGATATTATATTAGCATTCTATTTTGGAATTTTTTGACTTTTTTACGCCCGGAAAAACAATTGCCGAAATGTTTACCATGGTCCCTAATACCCTCCGGGAGGCCAATTGGTGGGTGGAACCATCTAATTTGCCTTTAAACGACCAATTTACCAGTTTACAACTTGCATCGATTTCATTAACTCAAGCCTACCACGGACATCTATGACACCATATAATGATCATATATGGTTCCAAACGGAATTTTATGACCCCCGGATGTATTTCCTAAAATCTCAAGATTTTACGACATCGGGGCCCCGAAACCTCCAAAATTTCTCAAAAAGCGTGGACATTAGCCTTCAATTTTGGAAATTTTAATTTTTGACTTTTTTTCGCCGGGAACAAAAATTGCCGAAATATTTATCATGGTCCCTAATATGGGAGTCCAATTGGTTGGGTGGAACCATCCAATTTGCTTTTAAACGACCAATTTACCGGTTTACAACTTGCACCGATTAACCGGTTTACAACGGCCAATTTAATTAACTTGTACCGAACCCGACTTGAACCGAAATTTACCCATACCTGTTTTAACCCGTCAAAACCCGAATTTGACCCGATTTGTTACTAACCTGACCTGAATTCAACCCGACCCGAATTTAACCCAACCTTTTACAAACCTGACCCGAAATCAACCCGACTTGTTATTGACCTGACCCAAATTAAATCCGACTTGTTATTGACCCAACCCGAATTTTACCAGGCCTATTACTTAATCGATCCAAAAATTCAACCCAATCTGTTACTAACTCGACTCGAAATTAACACGACTTGTTATTGACTTGACCTAAATTCAACCCAAATTATTCCTGACCCGATTTCAAATCACCTTAAAAGCAATCAAGACTACCTTATTATTTTTTATCACAGCATTTTGTCTAGGGAGTTCAAGTCGGTCCAGGCTAGCAAAAGAAAGGAGCATCATCCTCAAATTTAAGACTTAAATATAGTATATATTTGTTGTATGGTCAAAGGAGATAATTATTTTCGTAAATTATAGACTGTAGTTCCTTAGTATATTGCCATATATATTATAGTCAAAGGAAATAATTAGCCTGATAAAAATGATAATTATCTATTTATAATTAGTTGAACCCGAATATGACATGACTTGGAAATGACCCGACTTGATTGTAACCTGCAAATTATTGACTTGAACATAACCTGACTTGAATATGACAATGACCCGACTTGGAAATGACCCAACCTAATTATAACCCGCAAATTATTGACTTGAACCGAACCCGAGAATGACCCGAAATTATTGAATTGAACCGAACCCGATTCAAACCCGAGAATGACTTGGAGGTTAAATTCTCACTACAAAATGTTGGTTTATTTATCAGCTAAATTTCCTAAAAAAACAGAAAAATTAAAAACTAAAACAGATGCTATTAAAAAAAAAAAAAAAAAAAAAAAACAAAAAAAACAGATATACATCATTTGTTTGTATTAACAATTGGATTAATGCAACTCGTATTATCGTATAGATATAGAAATGCTAATTTTTCGAATTTATTTTAGTCAATTTTGTAGATTAAAACAATAATATTTTTTGTCAACGAGGTAGTAGTCAATTTTGTACATTTAATTAACCATATAATAGGAAAGGGCTGAGATGGAAGATAAATGGGCTGAAGACTTGACCAAGAAGTAAATTGTAGATTATATTGGTCATTTGTTTGACCTCAAATACAATACAAGAGGCTCAAGCACCTGGTTTTATAAAAATTACGTAGACGCGCGTATTATCCTTTCAGATTAATTCATAGATGATTCATTCAGCCCACAGATTTTAAAATGAAGTTTTATGTGCATTATATATACATAATTCTACACGTAAATTTTATACATAAATACTCAAATAACTAATTGACTTAAATCCCAAGTTCTCGATCAATAGTAAAGAGTTAAAATCATTTACTAGTAAAAGTTTGTGCTTGCTTCAAGTTCAATTCTATAGATAATCCCTCAATAACCCCAAATGGGACGTTGGATCAAGCCTGATGTAAGTTTATTTTTACCTTTAAGTATAGCTTCTTTATAAGTAAATTATGTAAATGGGATTTGATTCATTTAATTTTATAGTTAATCTATTGTATATGTGTATATGTCGCATGATTCATTGATTCTATTTTGTCGATTGCCTTTTTTTTTTCTTTTTAAATCAGCTCGATCCCCCCTCCTAAATTAACTGCTATTTTATACTCTCATTAACTTTAGAGTATTAATTTTTTCAAAAACTTTTGTATACACCCGGTTTATACTAATATTACTGTACATCGAGTAGTATAAGGGTAACTTTTACCTAATTTTAGAGTAACTTTTTCCCTATTTTTGGGTAACTTTAAACATAATACAATTTATATATATAAAAACAATAAGAAAAGTTTTATAATGGTAATTTAATTACATTCAATCACTAATAATTGATTTTTAGTCATTTAAAATGTGATTCTTTATTAATAATTTTTATTTGTATTGGATTACTTTTATGCATATTAGGGTAACTTTTATTTATTTTAGGGGTAACTTTTGATCAAATTAGTCTATCTTTATAGTGGATGTACAATAATTATTGTACACCCAATTTTTTTTAAAGTTTGTGTAATTTTTGTATGTGTATTTATAAAAGACAAGAATTATATTTTTTTATTATTATTATTACGTGATTAATTAAATATATTAATAGTCACGATTTTTCACAAAAACATAAAAAGTCAAATATTACAATAATTTTGAGACAAAATGTGCATAAGAAAATTTTAATCAGCAAAATATTCTTATGAACTATAAACAATTTCTGATTAGTACGTAATTACTGCGTACTTTGTATAATTTTACAGGTATATCCACTAATAGCAGCAATGTCATTTGTCACCGGTATGTGCATATTTCAGCTAACAAGGAATGTGCTACTAAACCCTGATGTCAGGTAATTAATTTACAAAATAACCTAAATACTCAGGATAATTAATAATTTTAATCTAATATTTGTCACCTTATTTTTAAGAATTAGTAACAATATGACAAATTAGAGAAGAAGAGAATAGAGTGACTTCATTATTATTCATCGATAGGTAGAGTATTTATATAAAACCTACGCTCATAAGATAGGAAACAATATTTCTAAAGATATACTAACATAACCATAAACCCTAAAGATATATTCTCAAAATAATATCTTAACATAAATATCCTAAATATATAATTCTCTGAATGATATCTACGGAAAATATATCATACACATATTTTTCGATATCTCATACATATATTTTCCGATATCTCATATCTCTAACACAATATTAATTGGTTACTATTTCAAATGATAGAATCAATAAAGCTCATAGAACAACAGCAGTGCTGGAAAACTACGAGGAAGGAGAGAAATATGCAGAGCATGGTTTTCGCAAGTTCTTAAGGACTCGTTCTCCCCAAGTTATGCCGACTATCAACCATTTTTTCTCCGATACCGGAAAAGAATAATTTCACTAGCTATATATTGTTTTATTTGATTTTAATGGAGTACAAAGTGTTTCGGATGAAAACAATCGAATCTCGGAAGATCCTTTTATCTTGAGGGAACTTGGTCTCGGTCCGAACGACGCAGGAGCCGAGGGTTTCCTGCACAACAAATACACGTAAACTAGCCTCGGGGGGGACGCCGAGGAAGGCCCCTCCGATGCTTAAGTCAGTATATTAGAGAGAGAAAGCTGTGCAAGAGTTTAGTTGCTTGAGGCTTTATTGTCTTACCAAGGATTGACCAAATTGTTGGCTTTTATACCTTGGCTAATGAAGGAGGCGGATTGGGCCCGGAAGTCAGTTGGGCTGGGCCAAGCTGATTGGGCCGTTGACTGACCTTGACATGGCTTTGAGGATGTTGATTTTTGACTTTAGCATATTTGGAGAGTTGAACCTTAACCTTGGGCTTTTAATTGGATCATTCAGTGACCAGGCCCAATTGGACTAAATTGGACCCAAACAACTTGCCCCCCAGACCCGATTTGGAAGGATGACGGGTCGGGTTTGATTTAATCAGAAAAGGAGGGAAGTGAATGATTTGTTGATCCAAAAATGTGAATTTAAACCGTAATTAACCCATGATTAATGAGATAACAACAGTTAATGTGGATAATTGCGGAAGTTGGACGGGTAGTGGGCGATTTAACTGCAAGGTCGTGTGTTTAACGGCTACTTAGTGGGGTGCTTGAGAGAAATTGAAACGCAGACTCCTTGAATTCCCATTTCTGGAGATATAAATAGAGGCGCGTCTTCTCTCCCCACTCACTCATCAACACAAACCCAGAATTCTCAAGAACGCTCAAGAGCCCGCATCAAAACTTCGCAAATTCCCCGAGCATTAAGCTTAGAAGCTGAGACCTGTCACTACCAATTCGTAAATCGGCGGCTTTTGCTTCAGATCAAGGTAAATTCCTTTGATTTTATTTCATTTTTCCTCGACTTTGCACTCTTTCCCCTTTTTCGACTTTTTCCTTCGAAATTCGTCGATGGTGAGGGGAGTTAGAGGTGGAGCCCGTGCTCCAAGAAGAGCAAGGCTAATCCCCGATCCCAGGGACAGGATTGGGACCTGGAATGGACGAAGGACAGAGTCTGACCCTGCTGAAGGGGTTAGGGCGACTCCCATTTCTTCGGCTCCTCCTCAGAGGGCTGAGGGGGTGAGAGCTTCAGGACGGGATGATGAAGTTCCCGCTGTCCTTTGGGATATCCTCCCAGGGTTTTCAGAGTGGGAGGATGCCGAAGTAGCTTCGGCCATGATAAAGAACCGTCCCTACTCATGGTGGGTAGAGAACGCCGATCAATATCGATTTGCTGAGCAAATTGAGTTGCACTACGGCATTTTTGAAGCTGATGGATATTGGTGCCGAATGCCCTCAGCATCCGATAGAATCCATCGTCCACCCCCGGGGTATGTGGGGGTGTACATGAGACAGCTTCAGTATGGGCTGAGGTTCCCTTTGGACGTATTCGTCCGAGACTTGCTGATCCATTACAACATTTCCCTGTGCCAGCTGACCCCCACCAGCATCCGAAGGGTAATGACGTACTTATGGGTCTGCAAATTCTTCAGATACGTGCCGAACCTGCACTGCTTCAGAAAGCTCCATCGGCTAGTGCCAAATATTCAGAGTGGGCACGGAAGCCATGGTTCTGGGTGGTATCGGATTGAGTCTCGGCCCCCGTTCCTAACCATGTGGCCGAACGACTCTTCAGACAAGGACTGGAGAGGTCAATGGATTTGGGTTAGGGCGCCCACGGAGCCGAGCCATCCTTATGTTTTCAGCGCTCCCCGGTATCTTGCCGAGCCGGATCCTGATATGGGAAGTTTAGGTCCTCCCGAAGATAGCGGGCCAGACCCGAACCTTAATCAGCAGAACATCTTCGGCAAGCTGCCGAACCGGGGAGGCAGCGGCCGAATGCAGCATATCCCGGAGACTTGGCTCCCCGATACGCACTATGTTTTCCAAGAGAATATGCTGGCAGCTGTCGGCCTCAGCCGAAAGTTTAGGGATGGTAATCTTCTTCGGCTGGGGCCGAGGCCTTTTAATTATCTCTTTTCTTCTTTCATTTTGCTTTCTTGTGATGTGCCGAACTAACTGAATTGACTTCTCCCCTTTTCTTTTTCAGAACGGGACGAGACCAACGTCGGCATTGATTACGCTCGCCTTGGCGTCAGCCGAGAACGAGTCGTAACTGATCGGGCTCCCCCTATCACTGAACCAAGGCGCCGAGAGGTTCACCTAGACTCTTCCCACTTCCAAATTGAGGCTGTTGCTCTGTATCAGAGGCAGAAGCCTTGGTGGAAGAAGAGGGATCCCTTGTTTCAGCTGCTGGAAGAAGAAGCTGAAGCTGCCCGCACAGCCGAAGAGGTTGCACGGGTACTTGAGGCTTGTGAAGGAGGAGAAGGGTCCTCCAGAGCTGCTGAAGCCGAAGCTGCAGCTAGAGCAGCTGAAGAAGACGAGGCTTTGCTGAAGACCTCGGTGAGTTTTTAGACAACTTTTTTCTTTTCTTTTCTTTTTTTTTTTTTTTTTTACTCACACTCTTCTTCCCCCTGTCTGTTACAGTCTGAAGAGAGTAACAGACACAGAGAAGGCAAAGCTCCTGTTCGTCCCGAAGATCAAATACAAGAGTCTTCAGATTCAGATATGGACGAGCAGCCCCTTCTGAAAAGGCGCCGAAGGATGGCCATCATCGGCCCTCATGATTTTCAGCAGAGGCCGATGACCATCGGCGTCGCAATAAGGGAACCTGAGGAAGGCAATGGATCGCCGAGGGTTCCCCAGCCAACACCCCAATCTCCTCAAAAGACCCCTCCGCCACCTCCTGAGATGGAGGTGGATCAGAGAACTCCCGGACCTAAGGGAGGGGTCCAAGAAGAAATCAAGGAGAGTGCTGCTGAGCACGAAAATAAAGATGCCGTGATGTCAAGTGCTGAAGGCTTCACGGCAGATATCGCAAGAGAGGTTGAGGCTTTCGTCCTCACCCCTGAAGAAGAGGAGGTCATAGTACTTGACTCCTCTGAGAAGGACGATGCTGAGACAACCAAAGCTAATCAAGCTCCATCGTCGTCCTTCCCTTCTTTCCAGACTCTGCATTCTGGAGAAATGGGTTTCTCGGCCCCCCGAATTCCAATCCCAGATCACATCTGGGACCTCATATGGGGTCAAAACCGAGAAGGAGCTGCAGCCTACTTCGGCAATTTTGCTGGCATGTCCGAAGTAGACAGGGCAAGGATCTGGTCGCTGAAGGCCACTGCTGGGATGGGCGAATCCAGTAGATCAGTTCCTGACCCAGCCAGGTCTAACCAACTGCTGATGATGCAGGTAATTTTCCTTGCCTTGATTTCTTTCTGAACTCAACCTTTCAGCTATTATTTTTTACTTTTTTAACTTGTGCCCCTGTTTTCAGTTCGTGCACAATCAGACTCTCACTGTAGAGCTGATAGATTCCCTACAAGATAGGGTGGACGCTGCTGTGCACGAAAGGAAGGTGGCTGAAGAGGAAGTTAAGCTTGCTAAGCTGAAGCAAGCAGCAGCTGAAGAGAAGCAGCAGGAGGTTGAGGAGTACGGTAAAAAAGCTGCCGAAGCTCTGAAAACCTTCTGCGATGCTATGGAGATGGAGGTTTTTCCCCCACTGATGGAAGGGGAAAAATTCCTCCAGGAGCATATGGGAGTGGACGTCTCCAAATTCAAGGCTGCTATTGAGAGCCGAATTCAAGAAGGAACTGCTGCACAAGCTGAAGTGCAGCAGCGTCTAGAGGCTCTTGAAGCCAGCCGAATGGCTGCTGAAGAGTTGCTCTTGGCCAAAGACGTCCAACTCTCAGAGGCTGCTGCTGCTGCTGAAGCTCAAAGAGCTAAGCTACAAGAGGCTGAGGATCAGCTCACTGCCAAGAAGGAAGAAATGGTCCAAGTTCAGGCCGAGGCTTCCCGGGTTCAGCAAGAGTTTACCGAGCTGAAAGGCTCCTCCTCCAAGCTCGTCGATGAGCTGAAGAGATCCGAGGAAGACTTGGAGGAGACGAAGAAGAAGTTGGCCGATGCTGAGGCTCTACTCAAAGTCCGTATCTATACCCAAGAAGAGTATGAAATGGGTTTTAGAAACGGGTTCAGAGTGTGCCGAAGGGTCTGCCTTCATGCTGAGCCGAAGCTGGACTGGTCCAAATGTGCTGAATGGGTCCAAGATCCCGAAGACCCTCACATGAAGTATGCCACTCCAATCGAAGCTGAAATCCTTAAGGCTGAGGAAGCCGAGGAAGAAGCTGAGAGGATGGAGTTGGAGGCTGAGCAGAGGGAAAGGGAGGCTCGGCAGAGTGCAAAGCCTGCTTCTTCTGCTGCTGGAGCTGAGACCACCATTGGGCCCAATGAAGCTGATCAGTCTGATCCTCAGGCTGAAGCATAGGAACTCGGGCAGTCGTCTTCAGAATCTTGCGGTTCATCATGCGCTCAACTTTAGACTTGCCGCTTTCTGAATTTTTGCCTTTTGTTTTTTTTTTTGCTTCAGCTTGCCTTATCGTACAACAGCTTATTATATTTTTATTTTGCCTGTACGTATTTCGGCAGCTGTTACTTTCCGCTTGTGGGCGGCTGCCGACAATTTTTGTAATTCAACATTTTTATTTCAAAGAAGTTCACTTTCTCAGCTTTCTCGTGTATTTTTTCCTTCGCTCTACCAGTCTTCGCACTTTACTGCTTTCTTTGAATGATCTTTCAAATATTTGCTAAGTGCAGAACTTCGGCTAGCGAGAATCATTTCTGCTGAGACTTCTTTTTGCCGTTTGTACTCGGATGTTTTCAACTTGTGAAAAAACTGACATAAGTATCAAACTTCGGCTGAGCTGAAGGGTATTAGATCAGTTGTGCCATTTCTCTATTTCCCTCTGCCCCCCAGAAATCTGAAGATGAGGTCTTCTGAATTCTGGAATGGCTGATAATTTTTTCTCGGCTAAGCCGAGGATCTTTGAACACTTTGCTTTATTTTCTACATCTGTTTTTAAAGTATTGATTTCCCACCTGAGAG